AGCGGTGTCTACGCCAATAAAGTAATTAAGTAAGTCTCTTAGCCAGTTCGTCTGGTATCTCAATGCATTCAAAGCTCCGTGAGACCTAACACCCAGTAAATGTACACTCTTCTTTTTTCAGACAGTATTTTGTATCGCCTTTTTACATGGTGAGACTGACTGCTTTGTGATATTAAGACCTTACTTATCCACATAAATAAGTGTTAACTTCCTTTGTAGCTGACAAGAACTTCCCGAAAGTCATGTGCGGTATTACGTAGTCGAGAGCGTAGTGAGAGAGCGGGTGGAGAGTGCCCAAAGTGCAGCACAACATTCCTTTACTTGCTGCTAGAGCTGGTGACTTGCATATAGGGCAGCTTACGCCTTGCTCCCCTACATTGAGTATCCACGGCAACGCGCTAGGTTTCAGCTGTAAAGTGGCTTCTCTCAGCTTTGCTTTGATCTAAGCTACCAGCTGTAGTATTTCCTTGTAAATATAGCCCTATCTGTTTTATCAATATTAGCCTTAGGCCCTGCTGAAAATAGCCCAGGTAATAATGGCTCTAAGTGCCTGATGTGACTGATGTGCCAGATATCCGAGACACTTAGCGTGCACTATGACTATGGGATCGTCTTTATTAATTCATTAACCACAAGGTTCTCATACTCAGATGATACCACACCACGCTAAAACTGGTTGCAGATTTCAAATATTTATAGAGACAATTTTTTATAAACGCGACCGCTTGGAGGAGCTGCTTTCTATGAAAGGCATAGACTTTAAAAACTCTAATTCCTTCTGCTTGTTAGTAATAACTGAATGCCACATAGCATATTGCAAGAAAAGGCTCGTTGAAAACTTATTAAGGCAGTTATATACATAACATGCACTTATGGGAATTTTCTTAGTCTTAACTACCGTATATTACTACAATTATGCACACGACTGTAACTGCAACTTGAATACCGAAAATTATTGAATATAAATTAATTTCACGTTCTCTTAATGGACGTAATAAAAACGCATTTTTATACGTGTATATTATTTTTAGCATTTTTAGCAACAAATAAATGCATAACTATATTATACAATGTCTATATGTTTCATTAAAAAATTGCCTACAGGGTCAGACGATGCACAAAAGCAATTTTTTGGCGACTAAATTCAATACCAAACTACAAGTTATACAATAAAAATAAAAAAAAAATAAATAAAATATAATAAACTTCTAATATAAAAAAATAAATATCAAACAAATACATATACAGATATAGCATTTGTAGGTGAATAATTTTTTTTTGCAATTTTTCACAAATTTTTAATTAATTCTAATTGCTTACGCAGAATTTTCTGAGCTGTAGCTGAGAGCCTATTCAATCATGTCATCGTAAGACATACATATGTACATACATACATGTGTAGTTGTATATTTATTTATGCCATTTTTCTCGCATATTTACGCATTTTATCTGTTCTGCATATGCTAATTAAATCTACGTGACATTTAATAATCGCGCTTAAAAAATTTAACTAGAATTGCTAGTGCAAACTCCACGCTTGGCGCGTGATGGGGGGTGTGTTTAAAAATTTTCATCGGAAACGTGTGGCTTCCAAAAATAGCTTATGTTTATTAGCAATAAATCGCCGTTGTCACCGTTTACAGTGTACCGCCGCGAAAAAAAAAAATAATAATAAAAAAAATAAAAAAAAAAATAAAAAAAAAATAAAAATAAAAAAAAGTTAAATAAGAGTGTCCCACAGCAAACAATTTGCGAAAATACGCTTATTGGTAAGTTCAATATTTGTGACACTTTGCCATCAGTGAGCCTTAAGATTGCAAATTAACAAATATTGTTTCTCAATTACTTTCTATTGACATAAATAATACTATTTTACCGAAATTTTTGGAGATTAACTTTGCTAGAAATCGTTCAAAATTAAATAAATATTTCGTAAAATACGCAGAAAAATATTACTTTGCTAATTTATATGAGCAATCCATGCGTTATAATCAAAAGAAGTGCTAAAGATTAATTATATAATATTACGTTTGAATTCGATCTGTTTCATACATTCATACATTCATAAATATTGAAATTTTTCATTAACATTGTGATGCCAAAATATTTTTCTATCATCCACAGAGGTTGGATGAGAACTGCTAGGCTTCCGACATATTTTGTTATTAATTATTTAATTTTATTGTAAAGCATTATTTGTTAGAAAACAACTATTTTTATAAGAATACATATACATACACACGTTTGTATATAGGGTTATCCATTTCCTGATTTTAAGAACCACAGAAGACGTTAAAATTGTTAAAATCTACTAAAAAAAAAAACTGGGATTCAAATGTGGCCACCTAATCGTTCAACTGCCCAAATAATTGATTAAATCTTAAAGGAATTTAAAGAGACTGAATCGGTTACAGTTATTGTAAGTCCTATGTATCATAGTTTTGATCGTTCCAGATCAAATATCGCTACTGTAAGTAAAAATGTAGCTGAGGATCTCGTCGTTCTCAAGATCTGGGATATTCTTAGGGCACATCATAATGTATTTCGCGACTGGAATCACACCTTCTTCCTCTTCTTCTTCTTCTTCATTGGTGTAGGCATCGCTTACGCGATTATAGCCGAATCAACAATATCGCGCCAATATTAAAACTTTTCTCTCGAAGACTCCCAAAGCCGACTCATGAAATGTAGTAGAACGAAGATGACGAGGTACTTGTAGACTTTGATATTTGTTCGTCGAAAGAGTATAACTTTTCAATTGCCTACTCAGCCCAAAGGAGCACTTGTTGATAGAAGTGATTCTGTGTTGGATTTCAAGGCTAATAATGGTGTTGATGCCAATCCCTAAATAGACGAAATTATCTACGACCTCGAAATGATAACTGCCAACAGTGACGTCGGAGCCGAGTCGGGAATGCGTTGAGTGTTTGTTTGGATGACAGGAGATATTTCGACTTGCCCTCATTCACTACCAGATACATACGTCTCGCTTTCTTATCCTGTCTGGATATCAATATCATTGATGAATAGGTCCAATCAGCTTGTTGACGGTGGGCTTTAGTCTTTCACCCAATATACTAGTTGGCACCTAATATACCTAGGCGGTATTTAAGAGGCCAATCCCACGATAATTGGCGCTGTGCAAATTTATATTCCTATTTTCGGTCAAGAAGCTGTTGCATGCACCTTGCCAGGGTTTCACAGCCATGTTTGAATAGCTCGGCCGTTGGGCCGTCAACTCCAGCCGATTTTGAACACATCTCGTCATAGTAATAGGTAATGAAATGTCTTTTCTGTCTTCAACGATTTGTTTCGACTTCGCCATTTCAGGTTGTTCCATTTTCACTGCCATTTAACAGGCCTTTTGTAAGTCACCAGTGCCGCAAGCTCTTCATACTCATGTATTTTGGTCTCTTTTGCCTTTCTTTTTTGAATGAGCTGTATCCTGCGGCTTTTGCTGTCGCGACCGATTAAAGAGAAAACGTCTGCGCTGGCTAGGTACGTTTTGAAGATATTGAATGCAGTATCCACTGCCGGCAGACCCCCTGTGGGTTAGGGGTTTAAGAATTTACCCACGTTAAGGCATGCATCTTGTAAAAAGCGACTAATAGTTCCGGCAGTCTGGTCTTTACACCGGAAGGACCTGGAGTTTTACCCGACCAAGGACTGTCACTCCCGCACCATTCCACAAAAAGTACTTTGGGGAATAGGTTTTCGGTTACAACAACAACAACAAGACCTCCACTCTGCAGAAAGCTCAAGAGATCAACCCGATTTTATATGCTATTTCCATTTAGCGACAAATAGCGCAAAGAAGGAATAATTGTCGCGCTCCTCTGGGTGCGCGGAAAGTAACTGCTCCTGTGATCAATGCTATTGTGACTTTAAAGGGATTTTAGTGCCTATGCTTTAACAGGCATACCTCACTGTGCTACCCTAGCCGTTTTAGATTGTACTAGCATTTAAATCTACCAGACTATTTGGAGTGTAACTAGTATTGAAGGAAATCGTCAAATTTCTCGAAGTAATTTTGGACAGCGCACTGCTGGAGAAGCTCCACAGGAGAGATAGAGAGAGAGAGAGAGAGAGAGAGAGAGAGAGAGAGAGAGATAGAATAAAAGAGCAAAAATGGTCACCTGAGCTTACAAAAACTCACGCAATGATGTTAAGAACCAGTCTCAATATATTGTTTTTCGATATAGTGAAATGTGGCTTAAGAGATTTCATACTAAATACCATTGTAAAGGATACTCCGGGTCACGAATAAGAGCGCGCGCTAAGTAATCTCTACTTCAGTACTCGAAAGTCTACTTATTATGAATAGACATTGCTCAGTGTTGACTGGCAGCTTCTGGTGAATTTGAGTAGGCAGAATAAAACACATTCTCCTCGTTTCGTATTGCACCTTTCAAGCTACGCTCAATGCGGCTGTTCGGCACAGAACAGTACGGTTTGTCAACGGATCTTACACACTTACACGAACGAATCACCAAGAGACTGAAAGTGTGATCACCGGAATATATGTACATATGTGTTACGTCAAGCTGAGTAGAGAAGCAATGGTTAGAGTGACTGCTATCAGGTAAATGTTTTCAAGGTCACAAGGGCATAATGAGGAAAGAAATAAGGTGCTTAATTATTAAAGTATTTAATTTTTGTAAAATGGAATTATAATTGATAAAGAAATGTCTATAGATCTTCAATAAAATGGAATGCTGGGTACTAATATATATTATAAAAACATAATTTGCATAAAATATTTAAAAAGTTAAATTAAAAGTAAAGAAATATATATAAAAGATTACATTTAATTCACCGAAAAAATATAAAAAGATTTTTTATCCTAGCAAATGTGGTGGGAGGATTTCCAGTAAATTTTTGAAACCTTTTTATTAAAATAACTTAAAAAATAGTAAAGTAAAACATGTTTACAAATTTATATGCAGACTTGGTTGAAATTAATTATTAAAATTAATCAAATTTATTTTTATTGCACTTACGACATGGCAAATTTATGAACGCCATATTTCTTTTTTGGTTTTGTTGTAATTACGTCGAGGTAGTTATGTTGTTTGCTGGACGTTAAACTGCGTCGATGAATATATCCAAAGTAGTTTTAGTTAGACATATCAAAAGGGTTGAAGGAATACAGTAGTTTTGAAAAAATCTGAAAAATAAATAAAATATATATTTCAATATAGTTGATATTTTTTATTATTTCATAAATGACTATTTAATTTTTTTTATGTATTTCATATGCAATGTATATGCACTGTCACATATACTGATGGAATTTATAAAAAAAAATTAATAATGGTATATTTTTTTATCCTGACTTTACGCAATACTTGGGGAATACAAAATTTTTTGATTTACCATTAACATTGGTGCACTTCCCGGAGATGTTTTAAATAGGCCAGTCCCCGGTCCACTTCTTGGAGAGAAGAGCCACCTATGTACCGAATTTATAAATAAATTGAACCATAAATTTTTTTGACTTAGTCAGTTCCAGATCCATTTCCAGGAGAGAAGGAGAGTCTTTTTGTTAATCTAAGCAAAAAGTCACCTATGTAAGGAATTTCAAGTATTTCGATCCACTAACCATTTTTGAATAGTCAGTCCTCTGTCCATTACCCGGGGAGAAGTGTAGTCTTTCTGTTAACTTAAGCAATAAGCTACATATGTACCGAGTTTTAAGTAAATCGAAACATAAGTAAACATTTTTCGAGAGAAGAAGAATCTTCCTGTTAAATTAAGAAAAAAAAAACACCTTTGTACCGAGTTTTAAGGAAATCGAGCCATAAGTACCCAGGTCATCCGCACGCTAAGAGATGAATAGATGCTATGGTATTCACAGACAAACTGAATATGCTCCTAAAACTTCATTAAAATCGGTCAGGCCGTTTCGGAGGCGTATCGTGTCTAACACTGCGACAAGAGAATTTTATATATCTGATAATAATATAAGTCGATAACAATTTAGGATGTTAAATAGTGATATGACTGATAATTATTTTAGATGATTTTTTATTTTCTCAGTTTTAATTCGTATTTACGTAAGTTAAACTATTATTTTTAATTAATATAATTTCTTAAATTATTTGGAACAATTTTCGCTTGATTCTCTGTTGAAGATGGAAGATCGAAAATAGCATTTTCGGCACATTTTATTACTTTTCTGCTGAAAGGTTAAAAATACTGCTCAAGAAAAGCGAAGATGATGTTATGTATACGAAGTCGATGTGTTGACCGAACGCCAATGCAAAAATGGTTTGCAAAATTTCGTTCCCGCAAAATCGACATATCTGCACGTTCTTCCAGAACGAAGTTTATTTCTTCTCATTAATTCTGTGTTTTGCTTATCAAACAACAAAGAAATTATTCATTTTTAAATCGCATTCTTACTAAGGGTGAAAAGTGGGTTGTTTGAAATAATATAAGGAGCCAGAGATCATGGTCTTAAAATGAATGAGCCAGCTCAAACCATTTCAAAGTCAGATATTTACCAAAAAAAAAAAAAGGTTGCCTGTTTAGTGGATTTTCAAGGGGATCGTTTATTTTGAGCTTTAGCCAGACAATATCACTATTAATTCTGAAGTGTTTTGTAATCAGCTGACCAATTGAGTGATGCACTCAAACAGATGCACTCAAACAGAACAGAATTCTAGAAATGATCAATAGGAAAGGCGTAGTATTCCACCAGCATAAAATGGGACCTCATACAAGTTTGCTGGCTCGCACGCAGCTTGAATCGGATTTTCTACCACACTCATATTTTCCAAACTTTTCACTGTTCCGGAGCTTTCCAAATTTTCTTGCATGAGTGAATTTCAATTTTTTTGTCTGCAAAGTTTAAAATTTTATGAGCCTGGAATCAATCTCTTCCCGAAAGATGGCAAAAGGTATTTGGTCGAAATGGAGAACACATAAAGTAATAAAATGCTTTAAACAATTAAAAAAAAATATAATGGTCTTTATTAAATTGCTTTGAATAAAACTACTTATTGCACGGCCTAATAAATTAAATTAAAATTTATTTTAATTAAATTTATTTTAATTAAATTTATTTTAATTTAATTTAATTTTATTTCGTATTATTTTATGCTGTTTCAGTTTTTGGTTTTTTATTTTATTTAATTTTTTAATTTTATTCTTATTTATTTAATTTAATATAATTAAATATTATTTTATTATTTTCATTTCTTTATTATTCCTTAATTTCATTTTATTTTATTTATTTTAATTTAGTTAACTTAATTTATTTTTATTTTTTTCTTATTATTTTATTTTATTTCGTTTTATTTTAATAATTTTTTTTATTTTATTTTATCTATGTTTTTTATGTTTTATTTTATTTTATATTGTTTATTAAGTTATTTTATTTTATTTTACTTCATTAAATTTTTTTATTTTATTTTATATACTTTTTTTTATTATTTAGTTTTTTTATTTTGTTTTATTTTATTTTCTTTTATTTCATTTTATTCCATTTTGTCTTGTTTTATTTTGTTTTCTTTTATTTTAATTATTTTATTTTAGTTTAGTTCATTTTACTTCGTTTAATTTTATTTTATTTCATTTAGATTCATTTTGTTTTTTACTTCGATGTTTTATTTATTTTATTTTGTTTATTTCATATTAATTTATTTTAGTTTAGTTTATTTTTTTTTTCGTTTTATTTTATTTTATTTATTTTATTTTCTTTTATTTCATTTTATTCCATTTTGTCTTGTTTTATTTCGTTTTATTTTATTTCTGTTATTTTCTTTTATTTTACTTTATTAATTTTTTATATTTTTTATTTTGTTTTACTTTATATATTTTTTTTCTTATTTTATCTAATTTTATTTATTTTTATTTTATTTTATTTCGTTTTATTTCATTTTATCTGGTTTTATTTTGTATTATTTTACTTATTTTTTTATTTTATTTTATTTTACTTCATTTTATTTTAGTTTATATCACTTCACTTAGTTTTATTTTTTTAATTTTTTTTTATGAAATTTTAATTTTTATTTTAAATATATATTTTTATAAAAGAAAAAAAAAATTTTTTAAGTAGATCCGCAAAAAATGTTTGAAAAAAAAACTAAAAATTTAGTATATCAAATTGAGGGCTTGATCTAAAATTTTGTGATGTCTTTATTTTAAATTTACAATACAATCAAAAGAACACCAACGGAGCGATCGTGAAGGTCATAAATACATACATATGTACATTTGTAGAAATATATTTCGGTAATAAATGGTTGCTGTTAAATCAATATGAAAAAAAAATTAATCATAAAATATTAATACTGATAAAGGCGAAGAACTTGTGTGCTTATAAATAAGTTAACGAGTGATTAGGTAAATATTTGTATTTTATAATAGCACACCCATATACGACACTACATACGAGTATATGTTTATGTGTTAATACGGTCCTCATAACTTATTGATTTATAGATTTTAAATTTTATTATGCTGTTTTTTCTTTTCTATTGACTTTTATCACACGCGAAAAATGAAGAATTGCATATCATAATATGTCATGTTGGCATCAGTGCATACAAACACACATACATATATTTTATTTACTGTTATTATACTTAAAGTAAAGAGTTTACTTTAGCCCGTTATCAGTACGCCAGCACCCGCAGAAGCGTCGTATCACAATCACATGTACATATTTACATACTAAACTCAAACACTCAATCTGAATTGGCGGTTAAAAAAGTTACAACAACAATTAAAATTATTTGTCTGAGTGTCAGATTAACAGGTATTACAAGATGTCTCATCATTTTATCGTATGGAATTTTTTCTCGCGAAATTCGCTGGAATTCAAAAAAAAAAAATTCGCATGTATAATGCACATGCGTAGGCAATTTTAACGGTGACATAAGATATTTGGTAATTGAAAGGTTCGATTTATGTAAGTGTGCCACTTTCCTTAATTATACTTAGTACACGTGATGTGGAGCTTAAGACAGGCACACACACACAAGCACAACTGCGTAGACCGCTGACTTATTTTTAATTATTATTTTTAAATTTGTTGTTTTTGTAATTGAATAAACAGTTTTTATATGTTAAGTTTAACATTTCATACTAAAATAAAAGTAAGGAAAAATCAATTTAAAAAATACGTCATTAGAAAGATTATAAATTTTACTTTTTTCCATAAAATTTATTGCCATATATATTGCAGTTGTGCTATCAATCCTTAAAATTTCCAATTATTTTATTTATGTGAAGGTAAATGTTGAGCAATGTTAAAAAATATTAATCAAAAATGTAATCATAAAATAATCAAAACATAAAACAATAATTGTCATTAATCCTTTTATAATTGACAAGCTGCTGAAGTGGATTCAATTGAAATGAAAAAGTAAAATAAAACAATAAAAAACAAATTCCAACAGTGAATTATCTTTATAATAGGAAAACTTCGCAACACTGATTACCGGTATCACTTAATAGGTATCATAACTCAGATTACTCATAAGCACATTTATCTGACACAAATAGTGGAATCATGGAGAGAATAAATATAAAGTAAAATTTACTAGAATTGAAAGTATAATGTTAATTAATTTATGTTAGCCCCTTAATATTTTTTTCCTTGTTTTAGTGCCTATATACAATAATTTATAATAAGTTTCAATATCTCAGTTAATGAATTTGGTAAATAAAAATGTAGGAAATTCCAAAGTGAAGCATACGTTGAGGCGCACATGATCATGGGAAGTGATAAATTATGAAGGAATAAATCGAATGCACTGCGATTATTAAAATTCGATATTCAATACAATTAACTATTGAAATAGTGCTCAGTAAAAGATTATTGATACCAAAAAAAAAAAAAAAAAAAATGTTTTACAAGTGGCTAAAGTGAAACTAATCAGACAAGAGCTTGAAATGAACATTATCATATGTATACTTATATCGTTTTGTGATTAGTTTTGAGCTTAAATTAAGCCAAAATTGCGCTACAACTGAGCAATATTTAAATTTAAAAACTGCGCATTTAATTTACACTCAGCTTTTAAGCATACTCCACATTTCTCAGCTGAATTTCTAAAGTTCCCTGCCGGTGTTGATTCCCTGAGTATATGAATAATCAGTGGAGTTGGAATTTTTCCCTATGCAAGTACAAAAAAATTAACACAGCTCATTTAAATT